AGTCATTTTTGCGATTTTCGCAATTTTCAGGAATTTTTGCGATTTTTGCAATTTTCAGTCATTTTTGCGATTTTTGCAATTTTCAGGAATTTTTGCGATTTTTGCAATTTTCAGTCATTTTTGCGATTTTTGCAATTTTCAGTCATTTTTGCGATTTTTGCAATTTTCAGTCATTTTTGCGATTTTTGCAATTTTCAGTCATTTTTGCGATATTTGCAATTTTCAGTCATTTTTGCGATATTTGCAATTTTCAGTCATTTTTGCGATATTTGCAATTTTTAGTCATTTTTGCGATTTTTGCAATTTTCAGTCATTTTTGCGATTTTTGCAATTTTCAGTCATTTTTGCGATTTTTGCAATTTTCAGTCATTTTTGCGATTTTTGCAATTTTCAGTCATTTTTGCGATTTTTGCAATTTTCAGTCATTTTTGCGATTTTTGCAATTTTCAGTCATTTTTGCGATTTTTGCAACGAATAAAACGAATAAGGCTAACGGTCCTGATGGAATCCCACCCATTATCCTCAAAAAATGTTCACCAGAACTAACACCGATTCTCTGCAAGTTGTTTACCGTCTCGTACAGGTCGGGTATCTTTCCATCATGCTGGAAGACAGCTAGAGTCCAACCAATCCCCAAAAAAGGGAACAAGAACCTGCCCAACAACTACAGGCCCATTGCCCTGTTATCAGTGATCTCCAAAGTGATGGAGAAAGCCATCAACATTGAGCTCATCAAATATCTGGAGAGCTCAGGAATTATCAATGATAGACAATACGGCTTTCGCCAGCGAAGATCTACTGGAGATCTACTTGCCTACGTCACCCATTTATGGCAAGCTTCATTAGAAAAACACGGGGAATCTTTAGCTGTCGCGTTGGACATATCGAAAGCATTTGACCGTGTTTGGCACAAAGGACTCCTCCACAAACTACCATCATACGGCTTACCACCTCAGCTATGCCATCTCTTATCGAGTTTTCTTTCAGGCAGATCGCTTCATGTGGTGGTGGACGGTGTATCGTCTGATACCATTGGCATCAATTCCGGCGTTCCACAAGGATCAATTTTGGCACCAACATTATTCCTTCTGCATATCAATGATCTGTTGGGAGTAACAACTTGCCCCATCCACAGCTTCGCAGATGATAGTACCCTCCATACTGCGTTCTCATCCAGAATTCCCATCTCTTCCCAGGAAACTAAGAACTCACGGCGCAGGCAGGTCAATGCTGTCAATGAAGACCTTGCTGAAATCACAGCCTGGGGAACCAACAACCTAGTTGAATTCAACGCCACCAAAACTCAAGCCTGTATTTTCTCTAGAAAGGCGGAACTCAGTATGCCCGACATTGTAATGTCTGGCACCACCATCTCCACCAAGCCCACCATATCTATGCTCGGTATTTCCATCAGCAACACTCTTTCATGGGATAATCATGTCAGATCCATCGCAAAAGCTGCCTCACAAAAACTCGGATTCTTGTTCCGTGCGAAAAGCTACTTTACACCTCAACAGCTTCTCATGATCTACAAAGCTCAGATACGGCCTGTTCTAGAATACTGTTCCCACATATGGGGTTCAGCACCAAAACATACGCTGATGCTCTTAGATTCCATCCAGAGAAGAGCCATCCGCCTGGTGGGTGACGCCACACTCACTCAGTCTTTGACATCACTGGAACACCGTAGAAAGGTCGGCGACCTTTCACTTTTCTATCGATACTTCCACGGGAAATGTGCTTCGGAAATCTCTGCTATCATCCCTTCACTAGCAATACCAGTCAGACGAACTAGACAAGCCCAGTCAGCACATCCTTTCGTTGTCAACCTCGAAAGATGTCGAACAGCACTTTATCAAAACTCCTTCATCCATAGAACGGCTAGGCTCTGGAATTCATTGCCTGAGGAAGTATTCCCAACAACATATAATCTCCAGAAGTTCAAAAAAAATTCCAATACCTACCTCCTATCCTTATCCTCCCTAGGAACGCACGATGTTCTTTGAACATTATAGGGATTCCCTTTCGTGCGCTCCAAGCGATAAAAAAAAAAAAAAAAAAAAAAAAAATTTTCAGTCATTTTTGCGATTTTTGCAATTTTCAGTCATTTTTGCGATTTTTGCAATTTTCAGTCATTTTTGCGATTTTTGCAATTTTCAGGCATTTTTGCGATTTTTGCAATTTTCAGTCATTTATGCGATTTTTGCAATTTTCAGGCATTTTTGCGATTTTTGCAATTTTCAGTCATTTTTGCGATTTTTGCAATTTTCAGTAATTTTTACGATTTTTGCAATTTTCAGTCATTTTTGCGATTTTTGCAATTTTCAGTCATTTTTGCGATTTTTGCAATTTTCAGTCATTTTTGCGATTTTTGCAATTTTCAGGCATTTTTGCGATTTTTGCAATTTTCAGGCATTTTTGCGATTTTCGCAATTTCCAGTCATTTTTGCGATTTTCGCAATTTCCAGTCATTTTTGCGATTTTTGCAATTTCCAGTCATTTTTGCGATTTTTGCAATTTTCAGTCATTTTTGCGATTTTTGCAATTTTCAGTCATTTTTGCGATATTTGCAATTTTCAGTCATTTTTGCGATTTTTGCAATTTTCAGTCATTTTTGCGATTTTTGCAATTTTCAGTCATTTTTGCGATTTTTGCAATTTTCAGTCATTTTTGCGATTTTTGCAATTTTCAGTCATTTTTGCGATATTTGCAATTTTCAGTCATTTTTGCGATTTTTGCAATTTTCAGTCATTTTTGCGATTTTTGCAATTTTCAGTCATTTTTGCGATTTTTGCAATTTTCAGTCATTTTTGCGATTTTTGCAATTTTCAGTCATTTTTGCGATTTTTGCAAGTTTCAGGCATTTTTGCGATTTTTGCAATTTTCAGGCATTTTTGCGATTTCTGCAATTTTCAGGAATTTTTGCGATTTTTGCAATTTTCAGTCATTTTTGCGATTTTTGCAATTTTCAGTCATTTTTGCGATATTTGCAATTTTCAGTCATTTTTGCGATATTTGCAATTTTCAGTCATTTTTGCGATATTTGCAATTTTTAGTCATTTTTGCGATTTTTGCAATTTTCAGTCATTTTTGCGATTTTTGCAATTTTCAGTCATTTTTGCGATTTTTGCAATTTTCAGTCATTTTTGCGATTTTTGCAATTTTCAGTCATTTTTGCGATTTTTGCAATTTTCAGTCATTTTTGCGATTTTTGCAATTTTCAGTCATTTTTGCGATTTTTGCAATTTTCAGTCATTTTTGCGATTTTTGCAATTTTCAGTCATTTTTGCGATTTTTGCAATTTTCAGTCATTTTTGCGATTTTCGCAATTTTCAGGAATTTTGCGATTTTTGCAATTTTCAGTCATTTTTGCGATTTTTGCAATTTTCAGGAATTTTTGCGATTTTTGCAATTTTCAGTCATTTTTGCGATTTTTGCAATTTTCAGTCATTTTTGCGATTTTTGCAATTTTCAGTCATTTTTGCGATTTTTGCAATTTTCAGTCATTTTTGCGATATTTGCAATTTTCAGTCATTTTTGCGATATTTGCAATTTTCAGTCATTTTTGCGATATTTGCAATTTTCAGTCATTTTTGCGATATTTGCAATTTTTAGTCATTTTTGCGATTTTTGCAATTTTCAGTCATTTTTGCGATTTTTGCAATTTTCAGTCATTTTTGCGATTTTTGCAATTTTCAGTCATTTTTGCGATTTTTGCAATTTTCAGTCATTTTTGCGATTTTTGCAATTTTCAGTCATTTTTGCGATTTTTGCAATTTTCAGGCATTTTTGCGATTTTTGCAATTTTCAGGCATTTTTGCGATTTTTGCAATTTTCAGGCATTTTTGCGATTTTTGCAATTTTCAGGCATTTTTGCGATTTTTGCAATTTTCAGTCATTTTTGCGATTTTTGCAATTTTCAGGCATTTTTGCGATTTTTGCAATTTTCAGGCATTTTTGCGATTTTTGCAATTTTCAGTCATTTTTGCGATTTTTGCAATTTTCAGTCATTTTTGCGATTTTTGCAATTTTCAGTCATTTTTGCGATTTTTGCAATTTTCAGTCATTTTTGCGATTTTTGCAATTTTCAGTCATTTTTGCGATTTTTGCAATTTTCAGTCATTTTTGCGATTTTTGCAATTTTCAGTCATTTTTTGCGATTTTTGCAATTTTCAGGCATTTTTGCGATTTTTGCAATTTTCAGTCATTTTTGCGATTTTTGCAATTTTCAGTCATTTTTGCGATTTTTGCAATTTTCAGTCATTTTTGCGATTTTTGCAATTTTCAGTCATTTTTGCGATTTTTGCAATTTTCAGGCATTTTTGCGATTTTTGCAATTTTCAGGCATTTTTGCGATTTTTGCAATTTTCAGTCATTTTTGCGATTTTTGCAATTTTCAGGCATTTTTGCGATTTTTGCAATTTTCAGTCATTTTTGCGATTTTTGCAATTTTCAGTCATTTTTGCGATATTTGCAATTTTCAGTCATTTTTGCGATTTTTGCAATTTTCAGTCATTTTTGCGATTTTTGCAATTTTCAGTCATTTTTGCGATTTTTGCAATTTTCAGTCATTTTTGCGATTTTTGCAATTTTCAGTCATTTTTGCGATTTTTGCAATTTTCAGTCATTTTTGCGATTTTTGCAATTTTCAGGAATTTTTGCGATTTTTGCAATTTTCAGTCATTTTTGCGATTGTTGCAATTTTCAGGCATTTTTGCGATTTTCGCAATTATCAGTCATTTTTGCGATTTTTTAAATTTTCAGTCATTTTTGCGATTTTTGCAATTTTCAGGCATTTTTGCGATTTTTGCAATTTTCAGTCATTTTTGCGATTTTTGCAATTTTCAGGCATTTTTGCAATTTAAAGTCATTTTTGCGATTATTTGAAAAAAATAATGATTCTCAATTTTTTTGATCTTATGCATTCTTCAAATTTTCATTTTTTTTTATTTTAGCTTGAGCAAAAGCAAGTCCCGCCTCCGTACAAACCGCGCCTGGATTCCGAAAGAGATTTGGCCAACTTCCCGCCAGAATTTACGGACGAACCGGTGCATCTGACACCAGATGATCCGTAAGTAACTCAAACGATAAACATTCAGAAAATCGATGAACAAACAGTTGGCATCATATGGCAAGAACTTTCAATAATAGTTTATTATTACAACCATTATACGTGTCTCGCTGGTTGCTTGCAGTTGCATGTATTATGTTCTCAATTCACATTGCTTTCGAATTATTTTGTAGGTTAGCAGGAATAGCAGGTATCTTGATGTAATTTTCGGAGTTCGTAGAAAAAGCATAGTATGTAACGCGTTTATAAACTCTTCTAGTCACTCGTTTATTGAACACTCGCTCCGCTCTGCTCCGCTCGTGCTTCAAATACTCTTTACTGAAAGGACGTTTATAACACTTGTTACATAATATACTATTTTCGGTTCTTTTTTGAATTTCTCAACGCCTAATTTTTTTCTTCGGTCTGGCAGTTCACTTGAGAGGCATCGTTCAGAGATATACATGAGTGCTGATTTGCTGTAGTTTATACTCAATTTATTATAGGACAACCATGAAGATGAAATAATCAAGTCACTTTCATTTGCATTTCTGATTTGTTGGATTGTGTCTGCGGAATAAATCAATGTAGTGTCATCAGTTTGATATCAAAATAAGATATTATTAATAGAAAAGATGCCAACTTTCTGAGATACATCGTACTATGTAGTTTTTTCCTCGAAACTGATAATTATCATAAATCATCTATTTCTCTTTTTCTTTCAGCAGAGTGATCGAAAAGATCGACCAATCGGAATTCGAGGGCTTCGAGTACGTCAACCCTCTGCTCATGTCGCTGGAAGATTGCGTGTGACACGACGTCCTATGTGCCCTCCATCCCCGCAATCTACCCCCATTTCTCCCACCAAATCTGCCCCCATTTCCCCCACCAAATCTGCCCCCATTTCCCCTTCCGCCGCCCCCCGTCGATTTCGGGGCGGGGGCGATTCTGGGCTTGCGCCCCAGTTCGGGCGGCAAATCCATTCTGCAAAATATCTTCTGCCTTCCTCTCGACTAGGTTAGAGTGTTAGTGTTTTCGTTGGGACGGGTCGGATGGAAAAATGACGTTTCGAGTTCGTTTTGACAGGTCTCCGAAATTTTTGCGAGATTTTTTTTCATATTTTCATGGTTAACAAATTTGTGCAACGTCAAAAATATTGATCACTCCTCGTATGATAACATGTTATTTCACTGTCATTTGCATAATCTCATGGTCAACAAAATCGTGCTGTGTCAATAATGCATCAAAAATATTGATCACTCCTCATATGGTCGATCTTCTGATACTGTTCACGCGTCAACAATTTTCATTTTGACCTATGTTAATGCGTCAAAAATGTTGATCACTCCTCGTATGGTAATATTTTATTACACTGTCATCTGCATAATTTCATGGTCAACAAAATCGTGCTGTGTCAATGATGCATCAAAAATATTGATCACTCCTCATATGGTCGATCTTCTAATACTGTTCACGCGTCAACAATTTTTATTTTGACCTATGTTAATGCGTCAAAAATATTGATCACTCCTCGTATGGTAACACTTTTGATTTTACTATGAATAGTAACTCGAGTATCGGAAATTTTCGATAGATTTTTTTGCATATTTTCATGGTCAATCAAGTCGCGCAGCATCAATAATGCGTGAAAAATGTTGGTAAGATTTTATCGTATGGTAAGATTTTATTACACTGTCGTTTGCACATTGTCATGGTCAACAAAATCGTACTGTGTCAACAATGCGTCAAAATATTGATCACTCCTCATATGGTCGATCTTCTAATACTGTTCACGCGTCAACAATTTTTATTTTGAAATGTTAATGCGTCAAAAATATTGATCACACCTCGTATGGTAACATTTTTGAATTTACGATGAATAGTAACTCGAGTATCGGAAATTTTCGACAGATTTTTTGGTATATTTTCATGGTCAACAAAGTCGCGCAGCATCAATAATGCGTCAAAAATATTGATCACTCCTCATATGGTTGATCTTCTAACACTGTTCACGCGTCAACAATTTCTATTTTGACATGTTAATGCGTCAAAAATATTGAGCACTCCTCGTATGGTAACATTTTTGAATTTACTATGAATAGTAACTCCAGTATCGGAAATTTTCGACAGATTTTTTTGCATATTTTTATGGTCAACAAAGTCGCGCAGCATCAATAATGCGTCAAAAATTTTCAGATTCACTATGCTTTTTGCATTTGTTAGTACTAAATTTTGAGTGACTGCCCATAAAAAATAATTCATTTTTGCCCATTTGAACGTGTCTGTAAGAATAATATTAACTGAGATATAACTATTGAGTAAAATATAAACAATCACCCTGTACAGCAACAGTCTTGAAGAATCCGTTCACGCGTCGAATATTTTTGACTTGACTATAAACAGTATCGCGGGTGCCCGGAATTTTCGGGATATTATGTTTCGCATGTTTTCAAGGCCAACAAAGTCAAACTAGTTTTCGTTTCGAAAACTGCTTCAATACTGCGTCAGAAATATTGATCGCCCTTCGTATGGTTCATTTCACCCGGAATTTTTCGCAAGATTTTGATTTCGGCATATTTTTATGGTCAACATAGTCGTGCTGCGTCAATAATGCGTCATAATTATTGATCACTCCTTGTATGGTCGATTTTCTTCCATAGTTTACGTGTCAAAAACTTTTTTTTTTGACTGGGTTTTTTTCACAAGAACATTGTGAATAACACACGCTGTACAGTCACAGTCTTGGAGATAGCGAACTTTTTTCACGCGTCAAATTCATGCGAGATTTTTTGCATATTTTCGCGGTGAACGAAGTCATGCTGCATCAATAATGTGTGAACATTATTGATCACTCCTCGTATGGTTAATTTTCTGATACTGTTCACGCGTCATAAACTTTTATTTCGGGACAGAAATAATCGTGAGATCTTTTCGTAGTTTCATGGTTCAAATTCGTGCTGCCTCAAGAACGCATCAAAAATATGCGTAAATAACTTCCATGTTGACTCCTTATAGTTGATTTCACAGGAATATGAATTGTACAGCAACAGTTTTGGAAATAGCGGACTTTGTTCACGCGTCAAACATTTTTGAATTTACTATCAATAGTATCGAAGGCATCAGAAATTTTCTCGAGAATTTGAGAAACATGCGTCAAAAATATTGATCAGTCCTCGTAAGCTCAATTTTGCTGCACTTTTCACGCGTCTAAAAAAATATATTATGGTCAACAGAGCTGCGCTAGTTTGTGTTCTATCAACTGAGTCGATAATGCGTCACAAATAGTGATTTCTCCTCGTATGCTCGATTATCTTATACAATACTGTTCACGCGTCAAAAACTGTTATTTTGACCCGTATGGTATCGTATTTCACTCGAAAATGTTCGCGAGAATTTGTTTGAGGCTCGATTCAATGGTAAGCAAAGTCGCGCTAGTTCAATAACGTGACAAAAATATTGATCACTCCTTGTATGGTCGATTTTTCAATGCTGTTCACCCGTCAAAAACTTTTATTTAGACTTGTGGTTCATTTCACAGTAATATGAACTGTAAACATGCTTTTGCAACGACATTCCTGAATAAAACAGCATCTATTCACATGTCAAAGCTATTTGGTATTACGTTATATTGAATTGTATCATTGATTTTAATTGAAGAATCAAGGGAAAGACCTTCGTTCACGCTTCAATTCAATTCTTTGTTCACTCGTCACTAATATTTATATCTACTACTTGGATCTTCTATTTCATATACAAAAATCAAGTGAACATGCTGTTGCAACTACATTCCTGAATAAAACAGCATCTGTTCACACGTCAAAGTTATTTGGTATTGCGTCATATTAAATTGTATCATTGATTTTAATTGAAGAATCAAGCGAAAGACCTTCGTTCACGCTTCAATTCAATTCTTTGTTCACTCGTCACTTATATTTATATCTACTACTTGGATCATCTATTTCATATACAAAAATCATGTGAACATGCTGTTGCAACTACATTCCTGAATAAAACAGCATCTGTTCACACGTCAATGTTATTTGGTATTGCGTCATATTAAATTGTATCATTGATTTCAATTGAAGAATCAAGGGAAAAACCTTCGTTCACGCTTCAAAATTCTTTGTTATCTTTGACTTCATATACAAAAATCAAGTGAACATGCTGTTGCAACTACATTCCTGAAGAGAACAACCTCTGTTCACGCGTCAATTTTTTTTGTTCATGCGTCAGTTATTAACATTTAAATTGACTTGCATGGTTGATTTCACATGAAAATAATGAAGTACATTTGTTGGACACTACTATAAAAGAGTATGTATTTCATAAAAAAAATGATCTCTTTAAATTTCGGAGAAATGATCATTCAAAGCGGGCGATATAAGGTGAGATAATGGCGAACTATAATGTCATTGTCTTTGGTTTTCGCCAGTAGGGTAATCGTTCTTCTATTTCCAATTCTCTCTAATTTTTACGCCGTTGACGGAATTGCAAAAATGAGACTACAAAGTTTTTCACTCTGAATTACCTTGTATAGACTTCCCTTGATAATCACACAACGAATTAGAAACTAGCAGGATTCTTTTGTTATTCCTTTACAAAAAAAAAAATAGTATTGACAGTGGTGTAAAGCATAAAATGATATTTTCATTGAATTGACTCATTATATTATATATTATTATGCTTTATACAGATCAAATTTCCTACAATAAATTTTCTTTCAAAAATCTCCCTACATGGTGAAAATAGTTCGGCCTTATCTCACCTAAACAAAAAAAATCCCATCCGTACTTGATATATTCCTATCAAATATCATTCAAACAGTTTGGATAGTTATTCTAAATGATGTCTTGTGTGCATTCCAAGTTCAAATTAGTTGTTTCAAAACTAGTTGAATGACATTCCCTTCACAAAATATGTCACAATGATTTCCATGCGGTATACCGGAAGAACTGTAAAGAGAAACGACAGCAAAAAACGCAAGAAGTTGCACCTTATTTAACCAGAAATAATAATTTTATAGGCGATTTTTGGCGGTGATTTTTTTGCTGTATGTTTCCGGTATTTTTTTTCCATCTAATTGTGTTATCTGCCTCACAAATGATGATAGCATCAAATGCATTTTTCCATTTCAAAGACTGAATAATTTGTTCAAATTTTGATCTTAGGAGAAGTACCTATGTGTATTATTTCGTGATATATCTACACGTTATTATTATATGCTTGTTGAAAATAATTTATTTTCGTTCATGAAACCAGAACATTCCACGTCAGTTTTGGAAATATTCGTTAATTTCGAAAATTATTTTTGAAAAGATGCAGCACTGACATGTTATAATGGTCATCAAATTGAATTTGGTAAGAATAGAAAATTATGTCTTGAAAAAAACTTTCAATTTCAAATGAATGAAGCTAATTTGTTGAGAAATATGTTACTTCTATATTGATTAAAATATATCATCATCGAATCTCTGCAGCAAAAAAAAAATTCAAGGAGTCAACTGGACATCCACCAGATCATCAGAATAGTAATTTTTATTGCAAAATTTGATTTTTACCTTAACTACTGTTTTATTGTTACCATAACCACCCAAAATTGTTACCCTAACAATAGTAAGGTTATGGTTACAATATCGCATCGCTAACATTATTTCTCGTTGCTCTTACTATTGGCTCTAACAACAACCATAACATTGTTAGTATCAACTAGAAAAACTTGAAGTCGTCTCCAAAAGTTTAATGGTAAAGGAGCTTTCATCGTTGATCATCTCTTTCCACTTCGAGTATGGACTACTTCAGAAAATCGTCAGAATTATTATAGTATTGTAATGGTAATGGTAACAATATTCATGTTTACAATAATAGTTTGAATGTTACCACAACTCACAGTTTTGGTACCCTAACTGTTTGTTACCATAACCATATAATATTGTTATCATTACATGAGTATGGTTATGGTTACAGTAAAGTATCGTTGGATAACAATTCTTGTTACTATAGCTGTTTTATTGTTACCATAACCACATAAAAGTGTTACCATAGCAATAGTATGGTTATGGTTACAATATTGCATCGCTAACATTATTTCTCGTTGCTCTTACTGTTGGTTCTAACAACAACCATAACATTGTTAGTATCAACGAGGAAAACTTGAAGTCGTCTCCAAAAGTTTAATTGTAAAGGAGATTTCATCGTTGATCATCTCTTTCCACTTCGAGTATGGACTACTTCAGAAAATCGTCAGTATTATCATAGTATTGTAATGGTAATTGTAACAAGATTTATGTTTACACTAATAGTTTAAATGTTACCACAGCTCACAGTTTTGGTACCCTAACTGTCTGTTACCATAACCATATAATATTGTTACCATAACAATAGTATGGTTATGGTTACAATATTGCATCGCTAACATTATTTCTCGTTGCTCTTACTGTTGGTTCTAACAACAACCATAACATTGTTAGTATCAACGAGAAAAACTTGAAGTCGTCTCCAAAAGTTTAATGGTAAAGGAGCTTTCATCGTTGATCATCGCTTTCCACTTCTAGTATGGACTAATTCAGAAAATTGTCAGTATTATTACATTATTGTGATGGTAATGGTAACAATATTTATGTTTACACTAATAGTTTAAATGTTACCACAACTCACAGTTTTGGTACCCTAACTGTCTGTTACCATAACCATATAATATTGTTATCATTACATTAGTATGGTTATGGTTACAGTAAAGTATCGTTGGATAACAATTCTTGTTACTATAGCTGTTTTATTGTTACCATAACCACATAAAAGTGTTACCATAACAATAGTATGGTTATGGTTACAATATTGCATCGCTAACATTATTTCTCGTTGCTCTTACTGTTGGTTCTAACAACAACCATAACATTGTTAGTATCAACGAGGAAAACTTGAAGTCGTCTCCAAAAGTTTAATTGTAAAGGAGATTTCATCGTTGATCATCTCTTTCCACTTCGTGTATGGACTACTTCAGAAAATCGTCAGTATTATCATAGTATTGTAATGGTAATTGTAACAAGATTTATGTTTACACTAATAGTTTAAATGTTACCACAGCTCACAGTTTTGGTACCCTAACTGTCTGTTACCATAACCATATAATATTGTTACCATAACAATAGTATGGTTATGGTTACAATATCTCATCGCTAACATTATTTCTCGTTGCTCTTACTGTTGGTCCTAACAACAACCATAAAATTGTTAGTATCAACGAGAAAAACTTGAAGTCGTCTCCAAAAGTTTGATGGTAAAGGAGCTTTCATCGTTGATCATCTCTTTCCACTTCGAGTATGGACTACTTCAGAAAATCGTCAGTATAATTACAGTATTGTGATGGTAATGGTAACAATATTTATGTTTACACTAATAGTTTAAATGTTACCACAACTCACAGTTTTGGTACCCTAACTGTCTGTTACCATAACCATATAATATTGTTATCATTACATTAGTATATGGTTATATGGTTACAGTATAGTATCGTTGGATAACAATTCTTGTTACTATAGCTGTTTTATTGTTACCATAACAATATTGTAGTTATGGTAACAAGATAGCTTGTTGTGCCTTATTCAACGAATTGTTATTTCATCAGAAATGTTCTGATGGTCTGGTGTAACCTGAAAAACATTTAGGCATCATTTATAATGCCTGCGAATTCTAATAATTCTTCAGTTAGATAGATCTGCCTGGGCAAATTTGTTCCTGAAGTATTGAGCTAGGCGAATTACGGTTATAATTCTATGGATTTTTGACAATTAGAGTTTTGATATTTTTAGAAAAATAACTGCACATATAATATGATAAACAATGTTGAAGTCTTGAATAAAAATCGTTGATTGAAATCAAATATAACACAATATTAATAGCAAATGGTTATATTGTAACTGAAGTTTTGTATTATAGGAAAAAATATTGATAATGATGACTATTTAGAATAGTGGAATATATATCTTTGTTTTAGAACATTTTTTGTTAACGTTTTAATATCATATGAGTTAGGACTTTGGTATAATTTATTAATTTGTATTATTTTATACGATACTTATTGAAGAAATATTATTTCATACATTTATTAGGTTACTTGTATTCTTTATAATAAAGATTTACTTCAGCGTTCAACCTTTTTGAATACCGAAGAATTTCAATTTTATTATTTCCTTAAAAAACATTAATTGAAAGGTAAGATTTCTAAATTCCTTTATGACCATCAACATCGATGAAAATGTAAAAATTGAATTGATTTTTTATTTAAAAGACGATTTAATTTGTGCTCTATCTAAGAGAAAGAATCGTTCAAATGAATTCATAATTTCCTTGACTATTTTTCGGATCGCTTTCTATTTTTAAAACCACCTGGGAAATGAACTCTAATTATATAATTCTAACAAATAATTTTCTACCTCTATAGTAATTCAGTTGAACGGAAATAGCACATGCCTTAAATATGCAAAGAAATTATTTCACTCCTGTTATCACTTTATAAAATGGCGAAGAAAAAAATTGTTACGTTACCAAAAAAAGTTTTTCGAATACTGAAGAAGTTGGGAATCTTTGGATACAGGTGAGTTGATATTTTTGTAAGTTCACTTAAATTAAGTTTAATAAAATAAGAAGCTCTTTCAAAAAATCTTCAATACAGGGTGAGTCATGAGGAACTGTACGCATACTCCTACCACGAATAGAGGCCATTCAGGGAAATACCTAATGACCATCAGAAAAAGTGTCTTCTCCTCTTCTTTACCAATATATAGGGTGAATTATGAGATTTGACAAAACATCTTTCGGTCATAACTTTATTTCTACTAAACCCTACTCGACTGACTTATTCAGAATCGGAATTAAAGTCCAGGACCGTTTTTTGAAAAATTTCGATAGTTTAGTTTTATCAAAAAGTTCAGTCTGTTTATGGTTCGAAAAAAATAATGAATTTTACGAAAATACGAAAATTTGGCCAAAAATTTATTAATTTGAAAATTAATACTTCGCAACCATAAATTTCACAAATGAAAGTAAGACTCACATTTTCAATGGTTCAGCTCAATGTAAATCAACATATTATTTAATTTTCAGGCCTGGATTTAGTAAATCAATTTTTTTTCTGGAGGATAATAATCACCCTGTAGATCTTTTTCCGAGTCTTTTTCGAATCAGTGGATGGGGTATCTGTGAAGATCTTAATGGTCATCGCTTTAAATACTTTTATGATTTCAAATCATCGCACACTTTTATCTATTAGATTAGAAAAATAATTGTGAATAAACCAATATTTTCTGTTCGGCTATCTTGAATTATTTGAATTGATGACCACTAACATCTAATAAACAGATAGGTACCCCATCCACTGATTTGAAAAAGATCTACAGAGTGATTTTTATGATACCCTTTTACAAAAAATGAAAGGACGAAATTCAGGTATGAAAATGAAAGAACATAATAATTTCCATTCGGCTAAAGCATTAAAAATGTAAGTCTTACTTTTATTTGTGGAATTTATGCGTTGAGGAGTAATTATTTCCGAAAGAATAAATTTTTTGCCAAACTTTCGGCTTTGCTTATATAATTCATCGTTTTTTGAAAAATTCTGTGATTTGAGAATTTTGAATATTTTTAGTTTTGATGCTCGTTTGTGTGCTTTGAAAAGTCCCTGTCACAGTTTACAAAAACAAAAACCATATATACAGGATGAACTTTTGGATAAAAACTAAACTATTGACATTTTTCAAGAATAACAGTCTTTTGGAGTTTCTCGATTCTGAATAAGTCAGTCTATTGATTAGATATGTTGGAAAGTTATTATGACCAAAAGATATTTTTGCCAAATCTCATAATTCACCCTATATATTGGAAAAGAAGGGAAGATGACACTTTCTGATGAACATTCGGTATTCTTTCTATTCGTGCCATTCGTGGTAGGAGTATGTATACAGTTCCTCATGACTCACCCTGTATAAGTACCTGACTCTCGAATGAACTTATTCCCATAATAGACATCAATTTTATAAGTAAACATTATTGTCTTGTTTTCAGTAAGAAAAACAATATATTTGGGCTCAATCCCCTCGTCGTTTCTACACTTTTTATCGTCCTCATCTTGCTAGTAGCAGCTTTAGCAAGAAAATTAGTAAAATCAATTTTTGGTGAATCCCCAGGAATTATAAAAGACTTGTTGTTAGAATTCATAGCGACCATAGAGTTATGTGCAGCTTGTTTCGAATTGATCATAGGTTCGTGTATTATTATAGTGAGATAGTGAGATAATACAGTGGGTGTCCCTTAATAATACGATAATATTCAAGGGGCCGATTATTCGACTCATTTCAAAAATTGAACTTCATATGCAAACAAAACCCAAGCATGCCTTTTCTCTAGAAAAGCCGATCTCACTATGTCCAACATGAGCTTGTCAGGAGTAACCATATCTTTGAAGACATCCATTTCGATGCTTGGGATTACTATATCAGCAATTAATAACTTTACTTGGGAAAATCACGTGAGATCAATTAATTGCTGAAAATACATCCCAAAAACTTGGTTTATTTCTGTTTCGGGCCAGAAACTATTTCACTTCCAGCCAGCTGCTTTATGATCTATATAAGGCACATCAGATCCGACCTTTCCTGGAATACTGTTCGCATATTTGGGGTGCAGCACCTATAATACCCTCAAACTGTTGTATTCTGTCCAAAAAAGGGCAACTCGTCTCGTGGGTGATGCCTCGCTCACAAACCCACTCACTTCTCTGGAACATCGTAGAAAAGATGACGATCTGGCTCTATTTTATCGATATTTTCATGGACGATGCTCTTCTGAAATATCAACGATTGTTCCTCCCTTCAGTTCTCGCGAGATTAACCAGTCGAGTTGAGGCTTTCGCATCCCTTCGTGATGGTCACTTTGGAGACCTGCAGAACATTTCTTTCCAAAGACTCGTTCATCTAACTAACAGCGAGGCTCTGGAACACATTGCCAAGGGAGGTGTTCCCCGAGGCATATAACCTCGCCAGAAGAACACCAATTCCTACCTTATTTCCCTTGGTTCTCACGATGTTCTCTGAACATTACAGGATATGCCATTTCGTGGAAACCTGCAGAACATAAAAAAAAGTCTCGTATACGTCCTAACTATTGAGATACAGGGTCATTGTCGGAAATATAATATGCATAGATTCTTTTTTGTCCACTCTGTATCTTTTCGTGATGACAAAATCCAGTCTGCTATTTGACTGAATCGGTATGTGAATTTGAAAATGTTACATATACTGATGTGGTTGTCCAGTATAATAGATGTCCTGAATGGAGTACTCATGCAGACATCGAAATTTGAAGTCTGGTCTCTTTATTTTTCCGTTTTTTCTCTGAAACGAAGCGTTCTATCGAGTATCAACATAAGGATTTTTTTTGTACATAGTTAATAAATTGCCTTTCATAGCATTGTACGTTTGAAAATTTTTCGTCGTTGCTTACTTTTTAGTAAAGTATAAACAATAAATTCCCGTAACGGTGCCACTGGTAGAGAAAATAAAAATTTGTGTACATCATAAAATGCACCTTGGTGCATTGAAGACGTGTACCTACCAGATTTTATGAAGATGTAGGTATACATATTGTCTAAACTTATTATCAAAAGAAACTGAATATTTTTCATCACCCTGTATCTCAAAAGTTAAGACTTTCAGGACATACGACATTCATATGAAGTTTTCTTCTTAAAATGAGTCAAAGGAACACCTCTCAAATTTAGCATATGTCTTTAAGGAACACCCTGTATATTCATCATCAGAAATCACCGTCCATATATTATGCGACATATTTTCTGAAAACACTCTGTAATTACAGTACCTACTTCTTTTGGCAGAAATAACCTTCGCTATATTATACTTATTCTATCGTCCTTTCCTGCTAAAAATTAGTGGCTCATTACTAATGCTTCCTGTATTTTGAATAGGCAAATCACCCTGTATACAGGGTCTTGCATCTCACCTCCCGTCTTCTATATAGCTCAGTTATCAGTTGAGTCAGGATTTTGATATTTTGCAGACTTCAATTGTATCATAGGGTGCATACCAGGAAAATAATTTCGAATATACAGGGTGTCTCAAAAAAGCGTGACGTCATATTGATATATTTTTTCAAATGGCATGCCATATATTTTGTTGCACATTTGAGTGCTTCTAGTGGTTACCTACATACTCCTGGACTTTGATGATTGAAATTGGTTCAGTATTATTCACGTAAAAATTCATGCACGAGTGCCTGCTTTATAGAAGTCTGAGAAAAACATATCAAATAAGGCCTAAGAGGATCACTAACTGGGTTTGATTGACACGAATCATCCCAGGGTGTGCAACATTTAGTGGCTAACTCTTCAAATTTTCAATTTCAATTTTCAAAGCACTATATTTTTCTTATTTCAAAGTGGAGCCCCTGTATATATTTTCATGTTATTCGATGCTTTCGTGAAGAACAAATTTTTTTCTTATTATTTGAGCTTGAATAGTTCAAATTCAATACATTGTTAGCTCATAATCATACATTTTTTGAGCTGTTTATAACGAAATATTGTTTTTGTCATGGAGTACAACCAAGAAGAGCTCGTAGATATGATTTCAATATCAAGAGAATGTAAGAAAAACTCTTTTTTGACAAAAGGAGCCCGCAGAACTCATATTGGATAGGTTTGTACGAACCGAAAATGTATAAAACATATACAAAACCAGTTTTTTTTTTATTAATATTATTGACCAGTGGTGCAAAGTTGATTTTTTTTTGTTATATTTATTCCGATTTTTTCTACGTGTATCACTGAACCGATTTCAATTAAATTCCAGCGAGGGAGTATGTAGGTAACCCCTTGAAGCACTCAAATGTGCAACAAAATATATGGCGTGCCATTTAAAAAATCATTATCAATATCATTATGAAGTCACACTCTATTGGGAAACATTGTATATTCGAAATTATTTTCCTGGTATGCGCCCTATGAGACAATTGAAGTCTGCAAAATATCAAAATCCTGACTCAACTGGAGGACCCTGTATAATAATTATCATATAATATAGACTTATAATAACTCAAATCTATATCCATGCAGTGGCAGATAATTGGGGTATATCAGCTTACGCCACATATCTGTTCCTCCTGACTCTATGGTGGTCATCAAAATGGGGAACTGCATCAGCTTGCCCCTACAACGCAATCGAAGAAGTGGTAGAGGGTAGTAGAAGACTACCTCACGCGATTCTCATCGTATTGTCACAAACCCTCGGAGGACTAGTAACTTTCAGGTTAGTAAGGGTAATTTTGCGCATAATCATTTCCGCCTTCTATATATTCAAATTGAGATAAGGCTGCTTCCGCGCATGTTATTGTTGTTACCTGATTAGTAAAATCGTGCTGAGGGTAATTCCGCGCATCCTAAGGCTAATTCCACGCATCTTATGTTTTCTCAGATGATCGAATAATTCAATTCCAGTTTGGTCCAACCCATAAAAAATAACATTGATAGTAATATGTTAAGCATATAGTGATAGTTTCATTGAATTGAATCATTATATTATATATTTTTTCGCTTCACATAGATCAAATTCCGTTCAATAGATTCATTTTCAAAATTTTCGTTACATGGTCAAACTATAGTTCGCCTCTATTTTACTAAAACAAAATATCCCATCCGTACTTGATATACTCCTAGCAAATATCGTCCAAAGAGTTTGGATAGTTATTTTAAATGATGTCTTGCGTGCATCTTCATCTCATCTTCGCCTTCTATGGATTCATATTGAAATAAAGTTAATTCCGCGCATGTTATTTCTGTTGCCTGATGTTTTGCTGCTGCTGAGGGTGATTCAGCTCATCCTGAGGGTAATTTCACGCATCCTAACGGTAATTCCACGCATCTCGCATGTTTGCTCAGAAAATCGAATTATTCAATTTCAGTTTTGTCCAACCCATATGGGAATTGGAACTGGTGGAAACTCACGTAGACAAAGCTTTCGAAGACTGTACAGCAGACCTCCAAGTTGATATGATAACAGGAGCTTTGATAGAAGGTTTCGCCACTTGCTTGTGTAGACTCGTTTCCAGAGCTTTGACTGAGAGCGAAGCCAAACTGGGAAATATTTTGGACGCGTTTTTTGGCACCATGATGGTTGTTGCAGGTACCAACCCTAACAACACAAGTACATCCTAGGTACTTCCCAGGGACGTACCTAATTTCGTACTAGGACATCCCAGGGATATCCTTTGTCAGGACAAAGTACACACTAGGGACGTCAAAGGGACATCCGCTGGCCGACAAAGAAGGCATCCAATGATGTCCTTCTGGTACGTCCCTGGGATGTACCGAGTAAGAAAAAAGAATATACCTCTAGGATTAGGTTATTCCAGGAACATCCCTTCGACGAAAGAAAAAAAATGTAGGTCGAGTGGGGATTGAACCCGGGACCTTTAGTATTTCTGGCACGCACTTTACTCCATTGGCTGATATACCTAAAAACCTGAATAAATACAACTTTTTTAAGATTTGGGTATAGTTATTATCATTCTTGGGTGTTTAAAAATGAGGGGCATTATGGATTTACGATTTCTGTTTGCGAGAAATGGTCATTTCTCAAGAAGTTCTTAGGCTATATTCTTTATTTTCATTACAATTATTTGCCGGAAGAAAAACAAACATTTTCAAAAAAATTCAACTTAATATTTTGATGAAATTCAATGACTCTGATGTGAATGGATATCAGATATTCCAATGATACGAATAGGATAACCTAGAGATTCATCGGGCTAGATGTCCACTGGACAACCACTGCGGGACATCCCCCGCGGGACAAAAAAAGGATGTACCTACTACATTCCTGTGTTGTTAGGGAACAGTATTGAATTTTGTTTATCCCAATGTCTTATGCAACAGCTCTCAACGATAAGATATATATGGTTATTTCGCAATCTTACTGAGAAATTGATAAATGTTTTATCAGAGAGGTTAATGACCTCTGATGCATCATGTTGCGATTGCACTAGACAATGGTACAAAACTACCCAGCGAGCACAAAAACATCTCCGAGATGTTCAAAGTACGAGATTTCGAGACATTGAACCTCCACTGCGATTTTCTGTTCACACAAATGAATAGAACTATTATAGAACAGCCAATGTCCGCCGCAGTCGGCAATTATCGAGATGTCCTTGATATGTCATAAAACTACCTTCTCCCTAGTTCTTTCTGAAGCCTTTTCATGGACACAACAAAACATTTTAAACGCGTCTTGCGCACATTAAATCGCTGTGAAAAAAACATTTTCGAGGTACTTTTCTGACGCCTTTTGTCAAAATGAACTTTTGCATTAGGATTCCATTTCCCTTGAATGAAAAAATGCATTAAAAATAGATTGAACATAAAAATATTTTCTTGATATGAAATTAACTTCTTAATCGGTTTTTGAGTAGTGCTTACTACACACAGACATATATAATTGGAAATTGGTTTCCCAATTTTTGAAATGTTCTCCACAACGCATAATTTTGCAATTGCGGAGAAGCTGTGTATTGATAAATTCGTACTTTTATATATTGATTACACTGAGGCACCGAACAACACATCTTGCATCTGATGGTCATTATCACAAACTAAATAAGTCTTCTAACACAATAAACTTCACCAAATTCTTTTCTGTTCGTTAGCAGCGTGATGTAAGCGTGACACGCTGCAAACGCGAATGCCAATTTCGAACAAGAAGAACAAAATCGAAAACAAATCAGAATTCATCGTATTGTGAAGTAAGCATGAGATGTTGTGGTGGGGCAAACAAAGAAAGGGCAAAAAAGAACAAAAACAATACTTTCAATATCCTTCCAAGACCTCTTTGGGAAGTGCATATTACGCCTCAAAAAAAATCCTCATGCCTACATTTCTAAAACATCCCAAAACATCCCAGGGATACCTCTCAGTAGGCAAACAAAGAAATGCCACAGAAGAACAAAAATAATACTTCAATATCCTTCAAAGACCTCTTTGGTCAGTGCATATTACGTCTCAAAATAACATCTTCATGCCAACATTTTCAAAACATCCCAAAACATCCCAGGGATGTTTGTGCTCGCTGGGTAATTATCAATCTGATCCAATCATTTGGAGTATCATAAAATTTATGCTTGCAGCATTCAACCATTCTGGAGGATACTTCAATCCAGCTCTGGCCACTTCTTTGAAATTGGGATGTGAAGGCAATACCGTCATTGAACACGTGGTTGTTTACTGGGTGGGAGCATCGTTAGGATCAATTGCATCAGTTTTCCTGTTCAAATCGAAGAACGTACAAAAATATATAGGGAAACTCAGGACTAGCAAGATCGATTGAAATACAGTGAACAAAGTTGTGAAGACTCTTATATATATGTAGGTACCAATAATAAATGGACCCTTCCGACATCTTCCGATATCTTATTCACCATGCTTTATTTATTGTTTGTTTGTATAACGCGAAATCTTCGAGCACTATTCAAGAAACGATGACATCAGCAAATTGATAGCTTCTTTCCATAATCCTGATCAGCATATATCTTCATGATGAGCGATTTTCGTTCTCCAAGAAAATGGTGAATGATGTTCCGCCACTTCACCAAAATTTCAAATGTTCGTTTTTATTCCTCTGATCGAACCCATATACCGGGTGGTCCATTCAAGACTATCCATCCTCGATGATATCTCCCAGAATTATTATTTCACAAAAAATGACAAAACAGGTCAATTTTTATATGGAGGGGGACACCTTTTGACGCGAAATAAATAATGCATACGGCAACCTTCTAATTCCCAGAGCAACCCCCTCAATAATTTAAGGTAGTTCAATTCTGCACCCTAAAATATTGTAGGGTGCAATGTGTGAGCTTTCGACCTTCCGGGTCTCATCATCAGTTAGGCAAAGAAGCTAATTTGATTATTAATTCAATCTGAATAGTTGCAGGTTCAAGAAGTAGTTCACAAACGGAAAGAACAATGTTTGTTCATATTGCCAAAGATACAATAAAGGCTGCGGCTGCGGAGTTGTACAATTTCGAGCGACTTTCGTCTTTTGTGCTATGCACTTATTTGACTTTTGTCATTGCTTAAAACTATTCTGGTATTATTTTTTTTTATCTAAATAATGTCATCTGCAGATCCATACCGAAAAAATCACTGTAATCACAATTATGCGTGATATTTCTGTAGGATTTTCATGCCCTCAAATTATACAGGGTGGCTAGAAATAATTTTTCAATTCGGAACTTTTGGAAGTGATTTTACTCGAGTTCTTCAAATGGAACACCTCATATATTTTTAGGCCATTTGGTGTGGAATCGAAACACGGAGATCTTTTATCCCAACATCCATATTGATATACGTAACCATTTTCGAATTATTTAACTCTGGAAATTCCATGTTGGCCATTTTCATCGATACACATTCTTAACTGTTATTAAAACATCAAAAGTTCAATCAATAAATCAGTAAACCAGTTTTTTCAGAATTCAAACCAGAATCAAAGCAAACATCATAAATAGTTCATAAGCTAGTAATTTGCAAAGTAAAAATTTCCGTCTTCAAAATATCCCATAAATTCATAAAACTATAAAAACAAAACCAGGATAGTAATTTACAATTACGCAAAATGGGAATTTCTTTTTTTGCACTTTGTGAATAACTAGCATATGAACTATTTCTATTTGCTTTGATTCTGGTACCAATTCTTTCAATGAAAAAACAAGTCTACTAAATCATTAATTGGACTTTTGATGTTTGAGTACGCCACATTATACATAGAAAGTTATATAAGTCCTTTTTCTCATCCTGCTGATAGGTTGAATAGAAACCAAGATACGGAGGTGATCAAAACGTGAGAATTTTCAGCTTCGCTCTATATCTCAAAAACATGGTGGGCTGTGAAAATTCCGATTTCGGCATTGTTCGTTTCACAAAATAGTAAAGCAGTAATCTTGAAACCACAACACTCTATCTCCAAAGATAACTGAGATATCGCTCGAAACCATCGAAAACTGGACACACTGTATATATAAAAACTTCGAAATTTTAATGCAACAATGTAACAATATCGAAAGCAGACCATCTGTCTATGTGAATTTTCATTTTCCCCAAAAAATCACCCCCTCTTCGCATATTTCTTCAACTCAGGAGGACTAGGGTTAGGTTCCACCCTCTTCAGCTGTTGATAACCTCCTTTGATAGTATCCCATTGAGAAACAATTCTCAGATTTTCATTGAACCTCCCAAGGACCTCCTCAAATGTAGGATAGAGATGTTCCAGAGCTCCATGGTCCAAAGTCGGGAAAAGATGATGTAGAGCATGGTCACCAAAATTGGTGAGAACCAGAAAATGGTTGCCCGATATTTCCTTGCGGTCCATCACAGCATCCAGTTGGCTCAGCCCCCAATCGTAGTTTGTAGTTGCTCTGGAAAATTCAGTACATCAATTATTTCACGTCTTATTCAGTACATCAAAATCACGTCATTACACGGAGAAAATGAATAACTAACCCTAAGTGGATATTTAATAGTGACAAGTAAAAACTTTTATATTATTTGAGATTTATGTTCTGGTTCCCACGAAAAGGGATATCCTGTAATGTTCAGAGAACATCGTGAGAACCAACGGAAATAAGGTAGGAATTGGTGTTCTTCTTGAATTTCTGGAAGTTTTATGCCTCGGGGAACACCTCCCTTGGCAATGTGCTCCAGAGGCTGACTGTTCGTTGGATGAACGAGTCTTTGGAAAGAGATGTTTTGCAGGTCTCCAAAGTGACCACGAAGGGGTGCGAAGCCTCAACTCGACGGGTTAATCTCGCGGAGACTGCCAATTCAAGAACGATTGTTGATATTCCAGAAGAGCATCGTTCATGGAAATATCTATAAAATAGAGCCAGATCGCCAACTTTTCTACGGTGTTCCAGAGAAATGAGTGGGTTTGTGAGCGAGGCATCAACCCACGAGACGAATTGCCCTTTTTTGGACAGAATTCAACAGTTTCAGGGTATGTTTGGGTGCTGCACTTCAAATATGGGAACAGTATTCCAGGACAGGTCGGATCTGTGCCTTATAGATCAAGCAGCTGACTGGAAGTGAAATAGCTCTTGGCCCGGAACAGAAAACCAAGTTTTTGGGATGCACTTTTAGCAATTGATCTCACGTGATTTTCCCAAGAAAGGTTATTGCTGATAGTAATACCAAGCATCGAAATGGACGTCTCCAATGGTATGGTTACTCCTGACATGATTATGTTGGGCACAGTGAGATCAGCTTTTTTAGAGAAAATGCATGCTTGTGTTTTATTTTTATTCCATTCGAGAATTGTTGTCAAGTCCATATTTATGTTGTCAACATTTCTCCCTCGTTCGTTTCTGATTTGCCTGGCTGGTATTGGAACCCTGGAAGAGAAGGCGGTATGGAGGGTACTGTCATCCGCGAAGCTATGTACTGGAGATGAAGTTGGTCTCAACAAATCGTTGATATGGAGTAGAAATAGTGTTGGTGCTTTGATCCTTGCGGAACACCAGCATTTATGATAAGAGAGTCAGATGAAACTGCGCCGACCACTACATGCCACTTCAAAACGTAGACTTGAATAGAAACTTCGAATTCAATTATCAAGAACCGATGACAATAGCATGATTTGATAGTTTCATCTCATTATCCTGATCAGGATCTACAAAGTCAGCGATTTTTACATCCACAGATACGGCAGTGTGTTTTACCAAGTATACTCGTACCTCAGGTATGAAAATACTTACTTCCATCAGAGAGACGACTTCTGGGGAGTTGGTTCCCAACTTTGAAGTAGCGATATACAAACTTTACAAAACTTTACTTCACCTCCGTAACCAGTGTATTCTATATGTTTTGTACTCATCAACAGACTTCTGTTAGTGTAATATTCCTTTTTTTGCTAAATAGTTTGGCTTTATTTTAAAGCGTGTGTTTTGAGTTTTTTAATCTAAAATTCATTTGAAGGTTATTTCTCATCAATGAATTAAATGACCATCACATAGATCGTACCTGGGTAAATAATTCTTTTCAGTCTATAACAGTTGAATCACCCTGTATACTGCTTACCTTGGGGTGTCTCCATCATGGAAGATATCAGGATGGTGATGAGCTGCATGCAAACCGACAAAACCAAAATGTAAAGACGCCATTACCATTACAAAATTGTACATTCCAAAAGTAGCAAGAAGCGATTGTCCACCAAATATCCACATGAATGTTGGTAATGTGAGTGTGATCAGATCGGTGATTTTCATATTTTTGAAATTGTACTTTATGGCATCTTGGATCCTGAAAAGAAAATGGATACATATATATACCTATATTCAATATAGTCATTTTAAATTAACTTGATCATATGAATATCTACTGTGAAAGTATACAGCAGAATCCGAATTGGCCCAAGCACAGGACCTTGAGGCACCTCCCGTATATAACATATAATCTGTTGAACTGGCCAAGAGTTATATATATCGAATGATTTTTACCTTTTGTTAAGAGTGAAATGGAAAAGAGACATCCACATGAAAGGAGCTAACAACATGGAACCATAAGTCTGTATTTTGTTTTTGTCTGTTGGCAAGTACTGTAGGAAGGGCTCGTATGCAGATATTTCGAGATCATCTATAGTGTTAGTGTGGAGATGGTGACTCAAAACATGACTTATCCTCCAATCTCTAGAAAAAAAATTACATGAATATTTATCGGGTTATACAGGGTGTTTCATAAGTACGTGTAAAAAATTCAGGAGCATGTTGCTGACTTCAAGATAAGAAGAAAAGTTTATTCGTAATTGATGTCCACAAGTTATTTGTTTCTGAGATACATAGTGTCAAACATTATATATTCACATATACCAACGATGAACAAGAAACAAAAGCGTTGTTGAAGAAGTGTACCTTTTTACTCAGAAAATGTGTGAGATTTTTTTATAAAAAATATCGAGAGTTAACTGTCAAAAATATTAGGGCAATTTGAAATAAATAGTGACAGTGTACGAAGAGCTCACTGGATGTTACATGAAAATCAACAAGAGATGTGATTTCCCACGTCAAAAAACTAGCGGGTACCAAATGCCGTGCCAATTTCTCCTTATTTGCAGAAGTTATTTTCAAGAAGCGAACAAACAAATTCAATTTCAACACCCTGTATCTCCAAAACGTATTAATTAGACTTTTTTCTGAAAATTGTCTAAATAATGAGTCACTTCAATATTTCAACCTACTTTATGTTATACCCGGTATATTATGAACACAGGGTGAGTCAATACAAAATTATTCTAAACTCCACAAAACAAAGCATTACCTGATAATTAATCATAGTAACTTTTATTTTCGCTTGGAAGTCCGAAAGACGCACTAGAATTTACGATATGCTATTTCAAATCGCCCTGTATACTACCCACCTGACAGTAAAAAATGAAAACTGGAAGTAGTGCATCCTGAAATTGTCTCTTCGATGGAAGTAATTATGAGCTGCTATAGTAAGCATGCTGAGTAAAATTCCCCCCAAAATTCCTAGTCCAAAGCTCCAGTACCGTACTGCCAAGGTACTGAAAAGAAACGTGAGTACCACCAAGGAATCACTGAAGAAATTGGTGGTGTTCATCGATTGTTTTGGCAGGGTTTTCAGGAGCGGTTTCACTTCTTTTTTCAGGGTGCGGTAAAATCCGTTTTCATCGAAGGAAAATGGGGCGTTTCTGGGACCTTTTGCTTTTCTCACGAAGTATTTACGGAGAATTTCCTCCGGTTGGTCGGTGAGATGGTGGACTTCGAAGGCTTCTGTGATGTCATGACCCTGAAATTGAAAGCTAAAGTACACTTTTTGAACGATTTTATAAATACTGTTTGTAGGTTAATCGAGGACGTGGTACATTCATTATTCCATTTTTTTGGAATTTTCTCTCATCGTTTCTATAAAATAAAAATATGGATATTATTTCAATATACTTGTAGTTACGACAAATCAGAAGATTTGCCCCAAAATGTCACTACGTTTAAAGAATTTTCCTATCAGAGAGCCATAAAGAAAAATTCACTAGCTTGTCAGTGACAATTTGTATTGAAAAAAAAGTTTGGAGAAGAGAAATGAAGGTATATTGAGAAAATATCTAATTTTTACTTGGCTTAGCTTTGGACGTTTCGAGAACGAATCTGCTCCCGTTTCCAACATAAAAAATGGATTATTTGTATCGCAAATTCGTATTTGTACGTACTTTTCAGTTCTCAGTGACAATTGGTGACGTTGGCAATCAAATGAGCTACAGGATGTTTTCATTAATCAATCTTGAATTTACGATTCTCATTTTCAGATTCCAATAGTCCTATCTATATCAACTGAACAGGAAGCAATGCCATCGTCCACCAATAATGCTATTGTCTTCGTTCAGAAGAATGCAAGCAGATTCCTTGATTTTTCTTTTCTGGTTGTTATCTTCTTTTCCAATGATTTTTATATTATTCCACTCTGTCATATGTTGTCCATCTTCAGTGAGGATATGTTCAGCTAGTTTCGATTTCAATAGTGAATACCAGGTAACAACCAGAAAAGAAAAATCAAGGAATCTATTTGCATTCTTCTGAAAGGAGACAAGAGCATTGCTTCCTGTTCAGTTGAACATAGTATTCACTATTGAAATCTGAGAATGAAAATGGTGAATTCAAGATTAATTGATGAAAACATCATTTGATTGCCAACATCACCGATAGTCACAGAGAACTGAAAAGTGTCAGGACAAATACGAATTTGAGATATAAAAAATTCATTTTTTGTTATTGAAAACGGGAGCAGATTCGTTTCCGAAACGTCCAAAGCTGAGTAAAAATACAAATTGTCACTGACAATCTAGTGATTTTTTTCTTTTAGGCTGCTCTCTGATAGGAACATTCTTTAAACGCAGTAACATTTTGGGGCAAATCATCTGATTTGTCCTTATATTGAAATAATATCCATATTTTTATTCTATAGAAACGAGGAGAGATAATCCCAAAAAATCTGAACGATTTTATACTTGAAATCGTGGTACTTGTGTTTTTTTAAAAGAATTTTCTGATATATATATATATAAAACAAATATGGCGCCCATAAGGAAAACAAAAGTTGCATAGTATATCTCTGAAACTAATGGAGATGGAATATTTTTGATAATTTCTACTTCTTTGTCTTGATTGAATACCTAATCACACAAATTTTCATTATTTTTTTCGAATATTAACTGAGAAAATGAATGAACACAAAATCAGCGAATTTCAGTAATTTCATAATATTTCAGGAACGAATGAATTTTTTTCAGTTTGCAAGAAAAGGAAATTGAAGAGGTTTGAATCACGCAACTTTTTTCCCATTTAATCAACTTTTTATCTCACCGTTCAGGAGATAGCAATACTGTCCCTATGAAATCGTCCCCACCCTGTATAGAACATGCTACATCATTATGTAGAAAGGAGAAGAAGGCAGACAAATATCAAAAATACAAATATACTATTACCTAAAATCAACTTGCTTTCGAAATCAGATATACCTGATGATATTCAGGTTTCCAGAATTGAATCTAAAATCAAATTCAATGTTTGAGGATAAGTGAATTCATTAACAGACCCATAAAAATATCAAGAACGAGTCAATAAACATTGATAAATAATCAATTTTATCATAAAAACATAACTAAGACAGACGTCAATACCAAATCTGACACTAAATGAAGAAATATGAATACTGTTTGTCAAGACTCAAGACGATTGATATTTTGATTTCTTATTATCATTGCCTACCACATTTGTATATATCGGGCAGTTCACAAAATGGTTTCCCGGTTTTTGATGCTATTTCATGTGATTCTGTCGATATACTTTACATGACTGTGAAGGGAATTTTAAGGTCTATTCGATGGTATAAAAAAAACAATAATGGTGCTCATGAGAATACTGAAATTAGGCCAGTCGGGCAACCAGTCACTCCCATATGGGAATTTCAGTTTTGGAGTGTTTCTTTCCTTTTCTCCTACTCAGATGGCGTTGCTTTCATATTGTCTATGAAAGACGCCTGTGGGGGAATATAATAGGTACCGACTTGATTTTTGTTTGGCTAGCCTACGCTTAATCGGCGGTCTTAGGACTGCTGGCTGGAGACTGCCCTGCACTGACGACAGTCAAAGAGCCCGAAACCGGTCTGTAGGTGTCTAGCGTGGCCTGGCTAAATCGAAATCAATAGACATTCAGGAAAGAATCACTTGTATCAGTATTCTTTTAAACGAGTCGATGCATAGATTCCGGGAGGATGTTTATTCAATGTTCAGCTGTTTTTCTCCCAAAATCTACCATTGTTCATGTTATGAACATTGTGTGCATATGACTGAGTATTTTGTATATATAGATAAAATACTTATAACGAGTTGTACTAAAAACAATTGAATTTCTCAAATTTGTATTTGTGTTTTGTGTTTTGAATTATATATTTGTTGTCGTAGCAGAGATATCGTACATAACTCGTTGGAAATTGTATTTCATGCACTGGTTATATTTTCGCACCCTCCGCTGAACGAGACGTCGTATGCTCTAAATATCACTCGTGCGAAATATGTCACTTTCCACACTTGTTATGTAATATACTTATAATTATTGAGTATTAAGGTGATGATAAAACGATTTTCTGTTTAATTCCACTACCCACTTCCTTATATGGTAATGAAAATTTAAACAACTTGTACAGTTGGATTGATAGAAAAAGCGTTCAAGATTTTGAGTAAGGGGAAAGTATACAGGGTGGCCCACGGTCGATGGTACCTTAGACGTATACGGAAAACGGTACTTTGGATTATCCTGAAAATTTGGTTACTCTAATAAGCATTTGTGATCTAACGATTCAAAATATTTTCAGCGAAGCAGCGTTGCCACTTATACCAAAAAGTAGCATCATCTTTGTTATTTCAAATGGAACACCCAGTATTTTATTGCGTTTTTAGATTCTTCTCGAAGAGCTGATTTCATCAATGTATCACACTTGGGGTCTAGCAGGAATTATTACCGAGATATAGGGTGTTCGAAATCGAGATTTTTCAACTTTAGGATTTTTTTGTGTCAAAACTATTCATCATTAGTCAAAACGGCTTACATGTCCCTATATTAACTTTTGATTAACTATCTACCTACATTTAATTGGAAAAAATACAGGTTGGTCCAAGATTCAGAATTTTGATCACCCTGTATCTGTTCCAATTGAATGTCAGTAGATAGTGAATCAAAAGTTGAGATAGGGACATGTAAGCTGTTTTAATCGATAAAGAATAGTTTCGACACAAAAAATTCCTGAAATTGAAAAATCTCGATTTAGAAACACCCTATATCTCTGTAATAATTCCTGCTAGACCCCAAGTCGGATGCATTGATGGAATCAGCTCTTCGAGAAGAATCTAAAAACGCAATGAAATACAGGGTGTTCCATTTGAAATAACAAATATGATGCTACTCTTTGGTAAAAGTGGCAACGCTGCATCGCTGAAAATATTTTGAATCGTTAGATCACAAACGCTTATTAGTGTAACCAAATTTTCAGGATAATCCAATGTACCGTTTTCCGTATACGTCTAAGGTACCATCGACCGTGGGCCACCCTGTATAACGTCGTCCTATTTGGGTAAAATGGGCAATCGGAAATGATTTTGTACCAAATGTTGACAGTTGTCATTGGTTATCAAAAATACATAGCATTGGCTGAGCCAGTTTTACACAACTAGAACTATTAGGTTGACGTAATAAACCTCTCTCTATAAACTTGTGCGCTTTTTTTTTTAAATACGATTGTACATTGAGAGCAAAATTCCAATTGTTGAGCAATTCAGTGTACCTTTGTAAGCTGCAACCATTCAGAGCCACCTGGATGTTTCTGGATGAATTCACTCAAGTCATAGAGGTCATTGTGTACTCTCCATAGCCCTTCAGCACCATCAGTTTCTTTTTTCTCCTCCAACCACAAATTCGTAGTCAACTTGTGGCCAAGGTGTCTAGATTTTGGCGGAAGGATTCCCAAAGTTGATTTTGGCACAAAATCCGATTTTGGAGCCATTCTTCAAGCAACATTCAAATTTGAGGCCAATGCAGATAATTCTTGAGGACGTCTAGTGTTACTATGATTGTGGATGTGCTCATAAATAAGTAATTGCGCTTTATCTGGTAACAATTAATGGGAAAACTAAGATAAGATAAACTCCGACATTTAGTAGTAAATATAGATATTATGTTGTTAGTGTTTTTAACTGAAACATAAAAAACATATACATTAGTAGATTAAGCAATATTATCACATAATTTCAATGGCGAAGAATCCAGAAGAGTACAGAGGGTTTCACCCAGTCCATGTGATGAAAACTAACCCACGATTTTTAAATATAGTAATTCAAAGAAGGTATAAGACCCTTCGACGTCTTTTGATATCGAACTGACTCTAACCCATACAAGGTTTCTATGAACACAATGTCTGAAATTGTTTCGTTTTGGAGATACATCAGAGCATTCAAGTAGAAAGTATGAATAAATTCTTCTTTAGTCCACCCTCTATAGGTTTTTGTAATGGCTAAATATGGTCTTTTTTTTCGTTCTGGTTCCCACGAAAAGGGATATCCTGTAATGTTCAGAGAACATCGTGAAAACCAAGGGAAATGAGGCAGGATTTGGTGTTCTTCTTAAATTTCTGGAGGTTATATGCCTCGAGGAACCTCCCTTGGCAATGTGTTCCAGAGCCTCGCTGTTCGTTGGATGAACGAGTCTTTGGAAAGAGATGTTCTGCAGGTCTCCAAAATGACCACGAAGGGGCGCGAAGCCTCAACTCAACCTCGGTGGTAAACGGTTAATCTCGCGAGGACTGCCAAGGGAGGAACAATTGTTGATATTTCAGAAGAGCATCGTCCATGAGATTTATGAGAATATCTTTGAAATAGAGCCAGATCGCCAACTTTTCTACAGTGCTCCAGAGAAGTGAGTGAGTTTGTGAGCGAGGCATCACCCACGAGACGAATTGCCCTTTTTTGGACAGAATCCAACAGTTTCAGGGTATGTTTGGGTGCTGCACTCCAAATATGGGAACAGTATTCCAGGACAGGTCGGATCTGTACCTTATAGATCATAAGCAGCTGACTGGAAGTGAAAAAATAACTCCTGGCCCGAAACAGAAAACCAAGTTTTTGGGATGCACTTTTAGCAATTGATCTCACGTGATTTTCCCAAGAAAGGTTATTGCTGATGGTAATACCTGTTATATGACTAGAATATAGTGCTAAAATTCCAAACTATTACATCGCGGTGATCAAGTATTGAATGGAGTACTTAACATTCATCAACATTTGGAGCCTGGGTATAATTTTTTCGTATTTTCTAGAAAACATTACGACCTATATCCACTTTCAACAATAGGTAATTTTTTTGGACAAAATTGGATGGCCTTTCATATATTCGTATAAAACTTGGATATGTTTTTTCGTTGCTCACTTCCTAATGAAATAAAACAATAATATTTTCCTAACGGCGCCACTGCAAATCCGAACGGTCAAATATTATCGCTTATTCGTTAGCCCGGCCTGAGGTCCCACCAATTTATTGGAATATTTTCGATTTCTTTTTCAGTGGTTGTGGTTGTAAGGCATATTTGTTTTTTTGAATTAGAGACGCTGTTTCGAATATGTATAAACAAACCACAGTTAAAATATTATAATTTTTAAATAAGTCCCTACAGCTATCTCTAGATTTCGCCCAGTCTATATATCTGAGGGCTCGTTTCTGCACAGAACAGAACTCTTCTGGAATAAATGATCACTGCAGGCCCCCCAAAATGCTATTCCATATCTCAAGTGAGACTCAATTAAGGCAAAATATGCTGTTCTAGCAGATGAAGATCCTAATTCCGTGACAATGTTCCTTACAACATAGCATCCAGAAGCCAGTTTTTTACACAAACCTGTCACATGTTCTGTAATTAACAACTTATTATCTATGAATAAGCCTAGAAACCTAGTAGACAATTTATTCTCTCACCTCACATCCAATATTCAAGTTAGGAGTATTGCAATGGAAAGTCAGGATGTTGGTTTTCCTAATATTTAGAGAAAGGAGGTTTGACTCACACCAATCTTTGATAATCTTTATATCCCGCATTATATTTGATTCTAATATAGAGCTGATCTCTTCTTGCCAAAGGATGGCTGTGTCATCAGCAAATAATGTGACTGTACCGTTTATATTTAGAGAAGCCATATCGTTCACGTAAAGAAGGAAAAGGATTGGTCCAAGGACTGAGCCTTGTGGCACTCCGTACTTTATGTTTGAGGCCTTTGAGACGCTGCTAGTTTTAACCGATTGTTGTCGATTGATGAGATAAGTCTCGAACCAGTGCAGACTTTTATTCATAAAACTATATCGCTGCAGCTTCCGCAGCAATATTTCGTGATTCACGCAGTCATAAGCTTTGGAAAAATCACAAAATACTGTCGCAGCTACTGCCCCTTTGTTGAGGCTCGAGTAGACACTCGATGGACTGTCAGGTCCAGAAAGCTCGGTAAATATGTTTGACTCACCCTGTGAACAAATACGATTTTTTGCGATATTTCTGAAACAAACGCAACTGCAATATTTTGAGATTGTGGTCATCATAGTAACTGAATATTTCGGGGTGTGTGCATGGGTCGTTTTGATCAATTATCTACTAATTGCTCTTCCACCAGGCACCATTTTTCTCTCATTTAATTATAATATGACCAAATTTAATCACACATCCATGATCTCTATAATGATAGTTTAAACTAATCCCAACTCTTCACAGCTTTCCGTGACATTCCTACAATTTCCTTCTTTTCCAACCAGTATTTAAAAGTTGCGTTTCACCCAAAATTCACATATATCTTCGAAACCCTCACTCACTAGTGATACAATTTAGCTGTCAGCATTCTTTTGTTCTGGAGTTTAGTCAGGGCGGGCTCAAGACATGGCCGACTGTGATCTTTGATTACGGTTATTATGTTTCTTTCGATGCATTGAATGGCATCACGGTAATTATGAGGATGATGTATTATCTATGATTGTGGTAGGGTTGAATTTGAATCGACTGTTGTAGGAACACTTTTGAATTAGCCATTGTTTCTATAGATGCATATGTATGGACCGTTGAAATTAGTTTTCAACTGTCTTATAATGACCTTCAACAATTTCACTTTCAAGAAGGAATATGGATACATATTGTATAAAGAAATACATTGAGAATTCGCATGCTCTATGTGATGAAAATATCAATTCTTCCTCGGTTTATTCAACAGAAAACAACTACTTTATTGGCTATACAGGGTGTTTCATAATTGAATGCTGATCCTTATAAGGGCGATAATCCTTGGATGATTTCAAAGAGAAAAGGTTATATCAACATATGTCCTAAACCTCTTAGTTATTGAACTACAGGGTGATAAAATTTCAAGAAAAAAATGAGTTTTTCATCATAATTTTTTATCACTCTAAGATATTGTTATAATATTTTGTATACACCTTCTCATTATTAAGGAGTATTTTTTTACGTGAAAGATATTTAAAAATTCTCACCAGTGGCGTCCGTACGGGGTTTGAACTGACAATTTTTGAAGAAAAAAATAGTACGCCACTGATTTTTCTGAGAACCAGATTTTTTTTCAATTCTTATTCATTCTGGAGCAAATTTGGTTCCTAAACTCACTTTCATACAACGTACCGTTTTCGCGTAAAAGATTTCAGGAGAAAAACTTATATATGAAATATTGGTGATATTTTGACCCCATCTATACAATCCCGAGAGAAAGAAAATCCAGGGACACTCAGTATAGCTCTCTTCGGAAATGTGGACAAATCTGAAATATTCAGATTCTCGAAATTTCAAAAGTGACTATTAGGGATTTTTTTTCGGAAAAGTGCTTTTTTGATTCAATCATAGCTGAAATATCCCCGTGCAAAATTTGAACGCAATACCTCATATAGGCTGTTATTTATTCAATTTCTCGTTTCTTTTTGGTTCACCCTGTAATAAAATCTAAACAGTTGGTATATGAACTAGTGCATTCTCAGAAAACGACTCGAATCATGATTGATACATACAAAAGTGTTGGAATATTCATCTCTGAGTGACCTGACAGGAATTTCTGAGATGGTAATTCAGATGGTATAGTCATGATATCCCACACTATACACCACAATACCCTCTTCATTATCATTGTACCTTTCCCTTACGGGTTTTTGGTTGCCAATAGGATTATTTCCACGAGGATGAATGTCCAGTAGGTACAATAAGTCTTTTCATCCAAAGAGTCCATTTATAGTAAATTAGTTCATATACCTGTATCCATATTCAATAAAGCTAGCGGAGCTTCAAGTAAAAAGAATTATATAAACATGGATATACGGGGTATTCTACTGTTTGAATGAAAACCGTCAATAGCTGTGTTTTCAATTTGATAAGAGATAATCATATTTCTAAATTGGAAGCACTTGAATTGTTAGTTTTGGTGTGATAATGAAAAATTGTCGAGTGAATGTCGAAGTCCATTTGACGTGAAGAAAGTGCAAAAACTTTTTTCAATAACATGATCATCAATAATTTTTCATGGGTTTTCCTTGAATCCGTGGAACTTCGAGATTTTGGCAACATCGCATTCATTATATTGTCGAATAACTCAATATTTCAACAATACAGCGATGCACCCATTGTAACTTGGGAATTTTTTTTTCCTCCTTATTGAATCTAACGAACAATTAAATGACTAATACATATTTGTCCTGAACTATCTCAGAGTCTCATAGACTACCGATGACTAAAGGTGTCCCTCAAGGATCTGGTTCAGGACCAATCTTATATTTATTATATATTCAAAATATCACGAAAATTGAAACAGAGAGTAATTACACTATTTATGCAGACGATACAGTACTTTTATTTGAGGATAAAAATCCTATCATTTTAGAAAATATAATAAACAGAGACTTGATGAAATTTGAAAAATGACTGCATTCAAACCTTTTATCAATAAATACTGATAAAACTGAATATATTATTAGTCAACAAGACAATAAACAAAATATAAATCTAAATATCAGAATTAAAAATGAATCTTTGAAACAAACTGATG